AGGGGAGGGTGAGGGAGGGAGGGAGGGAGGGAGGGAGGAAGGAGAGAAGAGGAGGGGAAGAGGGGACAGAGCAGGTACAGAAGAAGGAATGAAATTAAATACAAAGAGAGGAAAATATATCTCAAACATATTCTCAATATAAAATACAGCCTCAAAATATATAAAGTTTAAATCAATGAAACTTAAAGGAGAAACAAACAAATACATAATCAGAATGGGAAATTTGAACATACACCTCTTAACTGGTAGAAAAAGCAGACTGTAAGAATACACAGGATTATACCCAACAATTGCAGATCCATTGCATACAGGAACCAAAATTGACCTATGTGGGGGCATTAAGCAAGTCTCAATAAATTTCACACAAAATGAAATCATATTGATTGAGTACATTCTCTGACCACTGTAAAATAAAGCTAGAAATCAGTTACACACAGATAAATAGAAAATCCCAAATACTTAAATATTAAACTATAGACTTTCAAATAACCCAAGGGTCAAGAGAGAGAGAAAGAAATTACATTATAAAATAAAATACGTTAAATTGAAGTATAATGAAAATACAACAGATCAAAACTCATGAGATGCAGTTAAGGCAATGCTCAGAGGGAAATATATAATCATGAGTATATACATATATATAATATTATATATAAGAAAAGAAGACAAAGTGAAAATCAATAATCTAAGTACTCATCTGGAGTTACCGGAAAAAAAAAAAAAGGCAACAAACCAAAGAGAGTAAACGGATGGAACCAATAATGAAAAGAGCAAAAATTAATGAAATAAAAAACAAACAATAAACAAGGCCAAACTTTTTTTTCCTAAAAAAAAGACTAATAGAATCAATAACCATCTGACAATACCGATCAAGAGAGAGAGAGAGGACACAAATTAAAATTATCAGAAATGAAATTGGGGATACTTCCATATATTCTTCAGAAATAAACATGACTTTACTGAGTAATATTACTTAGGAAATGTTTCTCTCCTGTCATTTTCAGGATGACATTTGCAACTATGAACCCACAAAACATGGTAATAAAACAAAAGTGAGGAGGACGTAAAACCCAAGAATCGTGGACTCCCACCTGGGAGAGCAGAGAGGTCCTGGGGAAGTAGTGGGTGAAGGGCCACCCTGGCTCACCAAAGTATGAGGGAGGCCCTGGGTGGGAGTCCACTCACACAAAAGGACCCAACATAAGGACAATCTGTTGGCACAATGTGGGCAGGGGCCATGGATAACACATGTTACGTGTAGAAGCAAGAGAATATCAAACTCTAGGGAAAGGGAAACATAAAAAGGGAAATTTCATTATAAGACATAGCCTGGCTGTGCACTGAACAACATTTACCTAGTCATGATGTTTTACAACTAAAATGGTCACATAACTATAGCGGGAACAATCGGGTGGAGAAATGATGGGGTGCAGCACTTAGTCTGCATCTTTCATAACAGGAAATCAATTGATAATTCCTTCAACAAGTAAATCAAGAAATACTACTATAGGCATTTCATTTAAGGATATGATGGCCAATCCAAAAGAAACTGATAAAAAAGTTTAAAGTAATTTACACTAGGGCATGAAAATAAAAGAGGAGGGGTAAGTTTGCGGACTCTCCTTGGTAACAAAGTCAATATTCGTGTATATGAAGAACCACTGTTAATACAGCTAATTTTTTTTTCAAACAGGTTACAAAATGATATTGACAGAATTATCATTTTTATGAAAATACATATACCTGTGCCCCATCTGGAAAAGAACTCCAAGCCTTTTACAATAGCTATCTGTGATGAGGAGATTATGGGTGGGGTTTTTGGGGGTTTTTTTTCTGGCTTACTTGTATTTTCTAATATTTCTATAACAAACTTATACTGTTTTTCTAATAAGCAAAATATTATTTTTAAAAGTTACATAATGAATATAAGTGACAGCATGATTGAATAAACATCCCCAGCAATTGTATCAATGTAACTTCAAAGAGTCATTTTATCCCAGTCTCCAGATACTGGTTATAGGATGAAGAAATGTATGTACAACCTAGGTATAAATTTAAAAGGATGCATGCACTAAGGAGAATTAATTCTTTAGCTAGAGAGTTACAAAAGGAGCTTTCATGTAGTCTGTGACCAGTCCCCCACCACCCGTCTTTATCCTGTGCCAATTCCCAGAGGACTGTGCAGGGTCAGATGGAAAATAACCATCACCCCACCACTGATGAGAGGATCTTCCTTTAGTCTCCAGTGCTGGGTGGGAGCAGGAAGAAGGGAAGAATCACACTTCATCTCAAAATTCCATGTGAATCTCATATTCTGGGTCCCCACACACTTGTATGAAAAAGTCTGAATTTCTGTTTTTTCCCCTTAATTTTAGAATAGAAGTACATTGGCCAGGAAACCTGTTCAAAAGTTGTGTAGGTTCTTGGCAGCAATGTGTAGAACAAGGTGGTTCAAGTGCATCTCATGCTCTCAGACACTGTATTTACACTAGTGATCTGGACAGAAAGTCTCAGGATTGGGGACTCTTCTAACAACTTTCCTGTACAACTTTTATTTATTTATTTATTTATTTATTTAAAATGGTGTTCTAATTATTTGGAAAAAAAATATTTTAGCCAGTAACATTTTTTTTTCTTTTTTCTTTTTTTTGTGACCGGTAAGGGGATCGTAACCCTTGGCGTGGTGTTGCTCACACCGCGCTCAGCCAGTGAGCACACCAGCCATCCCTATATGGGATCCGAACCCGTGGCCTCGGTGCTCCCAGCGCCACACTCTCCCGAGTGAGCCACAGGGTCGGCCCCCAGTAACATTTATTTTAATATATTATTAACCTTTCTAAAGTAGTAAATCTACCCAAAACAAATTTTTTTCTAAAAGAAAATTGTGCTTAATAAAATGCCTTGCTTTCTTCTAACCCTTGAGCTTCAGACAGATCTAAGCCCCTTTCATGTGCACAGGCAGAGCGCCAAGGTGCTGGGGACCTGAAACAGCCTGACCCCCTTTGTTCCCCATCTCCAGGACCCCTCCAGCTGGCTAGGCTCTCAAGAGCATCCCTGACAGGCCTCTGACAAAGCCCGATTCTGTCCCAGTTTCGCTGTTTCTTAGCCTGGTCATCTTCCCCTCTGCACTGTGTGGTGGGACAGGAATACTTGATGCCTTTTCTAGATCCTTGCACTGAACTTGTGCTCCTTGTGTGTTCAGTAAATGTTTGCTAAACATCTAAATGAATTCACAGATTCCTTGATTGCAGAGGTACAATACATGCTTGCTAACTGACAGAATTTTTTTGAAATCTGAGCTCCACATTTTCAAATCAGTGCAACTGCTTTCAATTTACTGTTAACTCAGTACTAGTAATTTCTTTTGTCATCTGGCTTTATAACTCACAATTCTTTTATTTGAATCAGAAGCCTTTCTTTTTAACAAGTTCTTTATTCGTCAAGCCCTGAATCAGCAAAGGAGAAAACTTTGAACAAACTTTGGAGTATATTTAGTTCAAGCCCTTCATGTTACAGATAAGAAATCAGAAACTGAAAGAGGAAAAGTGACTTGTCCACATCTCCCAGTGACTTTGTGGGCAAAGGGGTAGGACCCAAGCGGCAGAGGCACTTGGGCAGATGGACCTCACATGCCCATCAGCACACTTACCATATGTCTGGAGTTTCTCAGTAAGTGTGTCCACATCAATGTGCAACTGGCTTTCTACAAAGTTTCTTATAAATTTGTTTCCTAGAGCTTCCTAAAAGAAAATAATATAGCTTAACAAAAATAATTGCATAATTTCCTCTTATTAAATAATACTTATTAGGCTTATTCAAAATTTCATTATGCAGAAAAAAGACACAAAGTGAATCCACTTAGAAGTTCTAAAACATCACAATAAATAACAGGATAACATTTGATTAGGACTTTACCTTGAAAAAAAGTTACAATTATGTAAGTTTAGGTTAGAATTGCAATTATGCCATTAATATTTAAAACAAAAAATGAGTTAAGTGGTGACAGTCATCTCTTGAATGAATTGTCATTTATATCCTTTAATTGGCCTTTAGTCTCCAGCCCTCAAATCTATTTTTCACACTGCTTCCAGAATTAAAGTTTTGAAACACAGATGTGTAAGTGTCATTCCTCTGCTGAAAGCCTTCAATAGTTCCAATGTAGTAAAGTCAAAATATCTTTCACATTCTTGCTTCATCTACCTTTCTAGACCCTTTTTTCTCCCATTTGCCAACCTCTTCCCAAAATACACACACACACACACACACACAAACACACACGCACGCACGCACGCACATATTCCCCTGTGCTCTAGACACACAGGTTCACTTGCAGTTTCTCAGACATGCTGTTTTGCTTCTGTCTTTGAAAACGCTTTCATCCTGTGCTGTCCAATATGGTGGCCACCAGCCACAGGGGGCCACTGAGCATTTGAAACATGGCTCGTCTAAAGTGAGATGTGACGTCAATGTGAAATGAACACTGGATTTCAAATATTTGCACCAAAAGTTAATGTCAAATATCTCATTACTATTCTTTTATTAAAAATTATTATACATTGAAATGATAATATAGTAGGTATGTTGGGTTAAAGAAAATATAATATTAAAATTTTTTTAAAAAGGATTAAGTGGTGACATTTTGGCAAATTTTCTAACAAAACTATGTGGTGATCTTTCACTTTCCATTAGGTCCTCTCCTTTCCTTTCCATCACCTTTTCCACAAGACAGTTATGAAGAGGGGCGACTGTGGCAAGAACACTGAAGAAGGGTTTCAGCACTTCCCAAGCCCCCTCTCAGTCCTCTGACATTCAAGTGATCATCACCAGAAGCCTCTCTCTCTGCATCTTCAGCACCATTCCTCTTTCATCATTGATGGCTCTAACTTTGCCTCATTTGTCAATGGTTTCACTATGGAGAGTTCTCCAAAATAATTTCCATCACCTTACTGAACGTTTACATCTTTACAGTGCAGGTGGCATGCACTGACTTACATCATACTGCCACGGACCTACAGCACCCGAGAGCCAACAAGAAAGTGAAAGGCCAAATACTGACGCACTGAGGCGCAACACCAGGATTGCAAGTTCCTTAGAGAGAATTTATACAAGAGTACTTCAAAAAGTTAATGGAAAAATACAATTAAAAGATCATACGAATTTTATCAAAAAATACAATAGGAAAACATTTGCTGATCTCTGGATTAACAAATTAATCCAAGAGCAAACAAGTTAAAGACAAAGAATATTACAATAAAAGCCAACACATACAGCTGTGGCTGCCGTGAGAATGAGCACCGCAGCTCTTCTAATACACTGACCAGGGGCCCCACTGCTGCGCTCTGAATCCATCTCAGTCTTCCCCAAGGCCACATCTCCCATGGGCTGACAGTGACCACCACAGCAGGCCCACCCCTCAGAACCACTGCACTTCACTGAGCCGACACAGGACTCCACTGATCAACAAATTTAGCTACATGACTCCCACAGTCTTTGGCCAGTGTTCATTAAATTGCTGGTGACCAGAATCTTCCACCCTCCTTCCCTCCTTTCCTCAGGCTCTCACTCACTCCACTGTGTGATGACTTGCCTTCAGCCTTTTGGATTCCCTCTTCTTCTGCTCTAACAGCCATTTCCCATAATAAAATTTTTGCACTTGTAATCCCATCTTAGCAAACTCTTCTTAGAGGATCCAGACACACACAGTAGCATTTTCTCTGTGCCAAACTCTATTCCACGTGCTTGACATATCCTAACTGATTTATGCCTCATAACTACGATGATTTCCTCATTTCACAGAAGAAACCCAACGCACAGAGAAGTTCGGTGACTAGTCCAAGATCAGACAACTGGTGAAAACAGAGCTGAGAATCAAACCCAGAGGATGTGGCTCCTGAGTCCATGCTCTGAACTAACCAGTCATCTAGTGGATTATAAATAAGCTGAACAAGAATAAAAATGCAGGCGTGTTTTCTCATCCTGTAAACTAGAACTACACAAAGTCCCAAAATGTTATCAGGTAACCTATCTGATTATAGTTAATGATTGTCAGGCTCTGAAGTAGTTGGAATATTTTAAACCACAACCCAATTATTTTGTAAAATTAAGAATATGAAGAATTTATAACTGATCATTGTAATAGACCCACCATCTAAAAGTATGTAAACTGTCTAGGCAGCATTAAAATACAGAACTTAAGCACAGGTAAATATTAATAAATTATTAATCATTCTCACAATAGTACCATCTTGCATGGGTAAAACACTAAAAATTTACAACACACATATCCAATTTCATGTCAATCTTACTAGTCAACCGGGAAAATCATGCCCGATATGACTTTGCAGAATCTTCTAAAAGGCTGTCCCAATGTTTCAGACATGGCCTTGCAGGCAGCTCCCACAGCCTGAGCTGGCAAAAGCAGATACAACTCACCTGCAGTTGGGTGAACATCGGACTGTTTCCACTTCTCTGGAAAAGGCTGGACACTTTCAGCAGTGTTTCAGATAAAGTTTTTAGCTTGTCCACAAAAGAAAAAGTATAATTAGCCTGTAAAATGAAGCATATTGGGGTATGTCTTATTCAGTTGCTTTATTGGGATGAACCTTCAATCCTGTAGCAGTTCTAACAAGGAGATCAGTAAGTCTTATGTAAGATGTGGCCACCAGAGTCCAGATCTGCCATCACCACCTGCAGGCTGGCTGCCACCTCACTCAACAACGTGAAGGCTCCAAAGCCTTCATGTCTAAGGTGAGTCCTTCTCCAAGGCCTCTGTTCTTCACTCTGTCCACAGGCACTACCTGTACACTGTGTCCCCAGTATTAGGCTCACTGTTCGGTAGAGCGTATGTCCCCAGTACACACTGACTAAATAAAACAATATCTGTCCTCAAAAACATGTCTCAACTAATATCTATTTATTTGTTTTGTGGCACCCAACACTATTGAGGATAGAGTAAACCTAGTGTATTATTCATTTATTGCTGCTAGCAGAGTACATTGGCATAAGAATTTTAGGAAATAATTCTGTATCATAAAAACATTCACAGTCACTGATCCATAAAAAATGTACATGCCTTTTTCTCTCAAGATAGAACACTATCCTAAAGACACTGTTTAAATTAAATATAAAGCTATATCCATGAAGATGTCTACTGCAACATTATCATACTTAATAGTGAAAATAGTCTAAATGCCAAAGAAACAATGATTAAGGACAGTTTGCACATCCAACCACATCTCCCTGGGGTCGCTAGGAGACCCTCACAGTAGCACGAGAGCTAAAGGGCAGCTGCCACAGCAAACAGAGGAAAACCTTAAACTCTCAGCTTCAGCCTCCAAGAAACACAGGGGTAGGTATTGTAAGTATTATAACAAATTAATATTCCAGTGTTCAGGCCCCAGACCTGGCACAAAGTAAATGCTCAGTAAACACCAGCTATGATGGTCAAAAATTCATATAGACATGCAGAGATTGAATAATTGCAACCAATTTAGAAGATCTATAAAAATTTTTAAATGTACAAGTAGAGAAGACACACACACCACAAACACACACATGTGTGTGCATGTGTGTAAACATATATCTAATCAGTTATTACAGCCAAATTAGTTAAAATATTCTAATTTATTTTATATATACACACCGTTACTTTTCAAATGCCCAAGAAAAATCTATTAAAATTAATAATATGTTAGAGAACAAAGAAATTTTCAATACAACCTCTAAATACATAAATTACTCGAGTATTATGAAACCAGAAATTTTAACAAAAGTTTGTATAAACACTTCTGAAATTAACAAGCTGAAACTTTAAAACATTACCATAAATAACTACTGAATTTTAGGGGATTATTCAGAAAATGATTATATAGTAAATAATAATAATGATATTAGCTATTAAAATATATTGAATACAACGGAAATTCAGACTCAAATATGTTTGTTATTAAATTAAAAAGTAAAAGTTATTCAAACAAGCAATCATTGACTATATCAATAAAATAATAATACAGAAAATCTAAGATGAGGGAGAAGTAAAAAGTAATATAAATTTAAAAAATAAAGGATTTGGAGAAAAAGAAAAACAATAAATACATGAGCTACTTCCCTAAATAAACAACAAATACGCAAACCTTTGGAAAGTCTAATTTTAAATTATTTAATATTTACTATAATATTAGAATGCATCTAAACTATTTAATATTAAACAAATATTAGTAACTACAAGTATTTAATTAACAACAATTATTAGTAGTTATTTAATATTAATTGAACTTATCAAAATAATTTTAAAACATTAATACTTAAGTGATAAACAAAATAATTTAATAATATTAGAAAACAAAGCTACCAAATATGGGAAAAAACCCTAGTATACACAGGAATATTTTTAAGTAAAAGAATGCCATCTCTATGATCTTAGATTTCAAAACCTCAGTGAAATGTATTTTTAAAAGAAAATGACAAATTACCAATAAGCTGTAGACAACTCTTGCACACAAAATGCTAGTCATGTCCACTGAAGATGTCTAGAAATGGTGACTAGCACTGATGAGCCTGCCTGGCTCCAAGAATGTGATACTCAGTGCTATTTGCCTTTAAAAGAAACCAGAACTTGGCAAAGCAGCTGGTTCCAGGTCTAAGATGGGAAACAGACAACATGAGCAAGGAGCATCTCGCTCTTCCAGGAAGGGAGGCAGCCAACAGAGACCACTAGAGTTTTGTCAAAAGGATCTAGAAAAAGACGGATTTCCAAACAGTATGTGGTAAACTCATTTCTCTCTGTGCATACCCTCTAAGTACCCCCACACACTCTGGAAACAATGCAAGAGGCCACCAGAGAGAACTTTGAATGATGGAAGGAAGAGGCAACGTGGTCAGAGACTCCAAGGTGGAAGAAGCATCACTGCAGAAGGAAGCCTTATGACCCCCACCCAACAGAAGAAGTTGACCCAGACCCCGAAGTCTCCAACAAACAACACTGAAACAGAAGGCAGCCCTGCTGGGCTAATTCTTCCCAAATGGACCAGGAGTCCTGTGAACACAACCAGGCTAGCCCAGCAACACAAATAAGGGGGATCATTTGGGATACCCACTGATAAAAGCAGCCAGAGAAATGGAACACCTTCCCCCAGTGGGGCAGAGAGGGCTGGGGTGTACCAGCACAGGAGCTCCTGCTGTTAACATGCATCCAGTCCAGACACTGAGCGACAGGGAGACCGCAGCAAGGGTCATTCTCCCATAGGTGGCCTGACCTGGAAATACTCCCTGCCCCCCCACACACACACAGCAGGAGGGTCCTGACAGGAAAAAGTCTTGTCCTGCCGAGCCCTTTCCATCTCCTGTTCGCCACATGGCAGCATCTGGAAGCTGGGCATATACAAACCCCACCTGCTCTTAATGCAGCAGCATCAGGGACTAGTACAAGCCCAGCAGCACCAGATAAACCAAGTAGACCAAAATAGCAGCACAAAGACCATGAAAATTAAACCATCATTGAAGTCACAGCCCAAAAAGTAGACCAAAACCTGTGTGTTAAATCTAAGTAGGATGACCACCCACAAAAATAAAAGATTTCTGGGCCGGCCCAGTGGCGCACTCGGTAGAGTGCGGTGCTTGGGAGCGCGGCGGCGCTCCCGCCAAGGGTTCGGATCCCATATAGAGACCGGTCCACTCACTGGTTGAGCGCGGTGCGGGCGCGACACCAAGGGTTGCGATCCCGTTGCCGGTCGCGGTACGGGCATGACACCGAGGGTTGCGATCCCGTTACTGGTCACGAAAAAAGACAAAAAGGAAAAAAAATAAAAAATAATAAATAAATAAATAAAAGATTTCTGCAAAGAGCCAAGTATCTTCTAACAGAATAGCCAAAATGCCGAGAATACAATTGAAAATCACCCATCATAGAAAGAACCAGAGAAAATACATATTGAATAAGAAAAGCAATCAGTTGACACTAATATTGAGATAAATCAGATGCTGGAATGATATTGTTAGTATTTTAATGCACCTATTAAAAATTTTTCAACAAGCAATTACACATTGTCTTGAAATCAATGAAATAGCAAACAATCTCAATAATAAAAAAAAATTTAAAAATCCACATGGATATTAAAGAACTGAAAAATGCAGTAATATAAATAAAAAACACACTGAATGGTCACAGTAGAAGAGTGGAGATGACAGAGGATAGAATCAGTGCATGTGAGGACTGATTAAAATACTTCACAATAATCAACCACATTATATACTGACAAAATAAAATAAATTTTTTAAAAGCCCTAAATGCTAAAGAAGAAATTTTAGAAAGTGATTATAATTACACACACACACACACAAAAAAAAAAAAAAAACCAAAATACTTCACCCTATCTGAGCAACAGAGAGAAAACAGGTCAACAGAAAAGTGAACACAGCCTCAGGGAACTGTAGGGAAAAAAAAAAAAAAAAAAGATTCAACACTGGTATTATTGGAGTCCCAGAAGGAGAGGAAAGACCAAATGGGATTCAAAGAGTATTGAAGGAAATAATGCCTGAAAAACTTTCTAAAATTGGTTAAATATAAAAAACCTACAGGGCCAGCCCAGTGGTGCACTGGAGAGTGCACCACTTGGGAGTGCAGCAGCGCTCCCACCGAGGGTTCGGATCCCATGTGGAGACCGGTTCC